TCACTTTGATTCGGCTATTCTCTGTGGCTTGGCAGGCATGGAATATAATGTAACCACCTTCCATGATTTGATCTAATATCATCAGTCAATCAGTTGAAAGGGGAGTTTCCTTGGGCCTGTGGCCTGCCTTCAGGAATAAATGGATATTCTGGCATCTCTCCTCCTCTCTCTGGGTGCTACACTCTTCTTATTGCCTGACCACCTGGTCTGGGGACATAAGCCTGCAGAAGTGTCCAGCCTGGTGCTGGACTTGCAGATTTTGAATTCCACAATCCCTGCAGCCCCGTGAGCCAACAGAGGTCTCCAGTTGGCTCCCTAATTTAGAGATTAGGGACACGCCGGCACCTACAACCGTGTGAGCCATTTCCTTGATGCCATAGGTAATTTTCTAGAGAACCCCAACTAAGACAGAAAGAAAAGTATGATGTGGGAGTAACCTGGCAAGACCTCAGCAGGCACTTCTGCTTGACGAATCACAAGGTTATTTTTCAATAGTTAACTAACGGGGCACCATTATTCATCAGAAAGGCTCAAAAAATTTTTTTGCATTAGTTCTCAAAACGGATGACTGTGTCTCATTCATGCGCCTGTCTTAGGCACCCAGGCCGAAGGTGAGTCCTTGGCCATTCAGCATCTGGTCAAGGAGACACAAATGTAAATAGTATTTACAGTGCTGAGTGAGAAGCAAAATACCAGGACTGCAGAGAGGGAGCAGGATACTTTCCTTGTGGATTTAGTCTAGGAAGGCTTCACAGGGGAGGCGGCAGCACCCTGCCATCCTCAGGGATCTGGGTATATGTGGGTCCTGACTGTCCTGCTGGCACATCTTTCAACTTCTCAGACTTCACTCAGATTCAAGGATTGATAATGATGATGATAATGAAAAAGATCATATGACAGCAACTACACTTTTTTGAAGGCTATACTATAAACCAAGAGCCCTGGTGTGGCACTGGAGGATAAGCACTGGACTGCTAACTGGACAATTCAAACCCATCAGCTACTCCTCAGAAACCCCATATCAAGGGATCAATCACTATGAGTTGGAACTGACTCTATGACACTTAACAACTAAAGCAGGGGGAGTCTCTGAGTGGTGCAAGCAATTGACACATTCAGCTGCTAACCAAAAGGTTGGAGGTTTGAATGTACCTGGGAGTGCATCAGAAGAAAGGCCTGGCAATCAACTGTTGCAAAATCAGCTGTCAAAAACCCTATGGAATCTCGTTATACTCTTACACACATAGGGTCATCAAAAGTCAGAGTTGATGTGATGGCAACTGGGCTCTTCTTTGTTACTGGTATTAAAAGTGGTGAGAAAATTTGGAAACGATTTATTAAACATCATGGTTTAACAGAGAGGCGTCATAGTTCAGAAGGACAAAGCGGCTGGCCCAAGAGCACACACAGACACTGCCAATGGCAAAGCAAGGACAGAAGTCATTTTTGAAACTGCAGTTCAATGTGCTTCCCACAAAGCCATTATCCTTTGCAGCTGTGAGTAGAGAAAATACTCTAGTTTACGACTCCTTAATGAAGACAGATAAAATCCCACTCCGATGCTGCTAGTTCTACCCTTTCACCACAACGTGTTCCTAGGAACTAAGCCATAAAGAAGACTGTATTTCCCACAGGAACAATATTATAATTAGGTGGGACATTCTCAACCAAAAACGTGACATCCAATAAAGCAGACACAGCCTATAATATATCATATTAGCAAGGATACAATGAAGATGCGCCTCAGTAAGCATTTAAAAGGGTAAATTATGCCTTAGCACATAGAACATACCTGGAACATGATAATATATGGATCAAAGTGTAACATGAAATGAACTACAAAGACTGCTCCATGGGAGAAAGCTGAGGCATTCTGCTCCCGTAAAGATTAACAGCCTCGGAAACCCTGTGCAGGGTCACTATGAGTCGGAACCGACTCCACAGCACATAACAACAACAACAACATTAGTATATAATAGACTATATTCTAGTTATGAAAATATCATAGTGAACACTAAGCACTTGATACGTGCTATTTTGATTTGCCTCCTTAGAATTTAAAGTGTCTTATGGAGTCCTGGTGTGGTACTGTAGGATAAGCACTCAGTCACAAGGTTGGTGTTTCAAACACACTATCCGCTCCTCGGAAACCCTATATAGGGCCGCTATGGGTCAGAACCAACTCGATGGCACATAACAACAACAACCTATTCTCTTAAAAAGCCTTCTAATGAAGTATGCACAAGGCTTTTCTTCTTCTATGCCCTCTAGTAACCCAAAGCATCCAGAATTATTCCGTTGACCTTTTTTGCTATACTCAAAGTACTACAGTTAGGTTTTACTGGAAAAACACAGGAAAAGTAATGAATGGTTCAACATTTCTGCCCTGGTCTTCAACTGTATCTCTCCAATTTATGAAAAGCTATGGAGTGTAGTCACTGAGAATCACACTAAATAGAAGCCACCTATAAATCTTGATGTGTGCTATAGGGTAAGCACAGGAGTGCTAACTGGAAAGTCAGCAGTTCAAAAGCCCACCAGCTGCTCCTCGGAAAGCATCTGTAGGGTGACGAGTCAGAACCGACTCAATGGCACTTAAAACAACACCATCAATACATCAGTACTCTGTGGCAAGTGGTAGCTCAGAAGAATTCTCACTGTCATTGTGGGTGTTCTGTTCCTAGTCGATGCACCTTGTGCATGGCCACCACCCATCTGTCAGGCTTACATGTTGCTATGATGCTGTGTAGGTTTCCATGGAGCTTCCCGACCAAGATGGACCAGGAAAGAATGACCTGGTGGACTACCTTAAAAAATCAGCCAACAAACACCCTTTGGATCAGAACCGTCTAATCTGCAACCAATCCTGGGAATGGCAGGGTTTTGTTTGGCTGACCACAGGGGCACCATGAGTTGGGGCTGTCTCCACAACAGCTAACAATAACAATGACCACAAATGTTATTGTTGTTGTTGTTAGTGCCGTAGAGTTAGTTCCGACTCATAGCAACCCTGTATAGGGTTTCCCAGGAGTAGCTAGTGAGTTTGAACCACCGACTTTGCAGTTCTAACCGACTTTGTGGTCTAGTGCTTATCCTACAGCACCATACAACGACAACAAATAAGTATTACTAAATCCCTCTTTGACATCTTTTAACAAGATAGGAGGCGTCCTAGTGTGGCATTGTGGGTTAATGAACTGACTGCAAAGTTGGTTTGAACCACAAGGTCAGTAGTTCAAGCTCACCAGCTGCTCCTTGAAAACTCTACACAGGGTCACGAAGGGTCAGAACCAACTCAAGGCAATTAGCAACAGCAACAGTAATATAGAAAGTGCATCAGTGATGCAGTTGTTAATTGCTCATCTGCTAACTCAGAGATTGGCAGTTCAAACCCACCAGCAGCAACTCAGGAGAAAGGACCTGGCAATGTACTCCCATAAAGAATACAGCCTAGGAAAACTCAGCAGGCAGTTCTGCTCTATCCTGCATGCTTACTATGAGCAAGAATTGACTTGACAGCATCACAACAACAACAGCACAAGCCTACCTGACCTTGGGACAGCAAACTTTTTGTGGTTCTTTTTAAAAATGTGATTGGTAACAGGGTTGTTGTGAAGCTTCAGTGAAACATTAAAAACAACCAGTACAATGCTAACCCTCCACAGAGTACAGTTCAGCAGTGGAGAAATTAATTTAGTAGAGAGAAAGACTAGATTAATAAATAAATAATAATGTGTATGTATGTTATATACACATTTACATTCTAATTTGTGTACTATTGTTGCTATCTATATGTGCCTGTTGTTGTTGATTTTGACTATAAGCAACCTCACTTGACAAAGTAGAACTGCCCCAGGGTCCTCTTAGCTGTAACCTTTCTGGGATGGAAATACTACTGAGAAAGGAAAGCAGCAGGTATGCCAGGATTTGTGTTTAGTCTGAGGGAGATGGAAAGTCACCCCGGGAAGGTTTAAATGCAGGAGGGATGCGGTCCTTTCCTCCTTGCTCCAGATCTGACTGTGAGATGGTATTATGAAACTCCTTTCAAAATGTTCCCAAGCTTCCTCCCAGAATTGCCAAGACAGGCTTGGGGAGGAGCTGGTCTTTATAGATATTACCTGGGTGAGAGTGGGGGTGGCCTGGTATGGTCTGTTCAGGAAGTATTTATATCATTTCACTGCTTAGCAGGACCTTGACCACCCGAGGCAGGGAAAGGAAAACTTAGTTTTGGAGGGTATGGACACACAGACAGGACCAACTATATAACTTGTGGGGTCCCATGCAAAATGAAAAGGTGGGGCTCCTTGTTCAAAAAATGATTAAAAATTTCAGTAGAGTGTGAAACCAAGGGTCCTTCTGAGCACTGGTGTGGTGCCATAAGATAAACACGAGACCTCAAGGTCAGGTTGAATTGCAAGGTCAGTGGTTCAAACCCACCAGCAGCTCCTCGGAAACCCTATATAAGGTCGCTATGAAAAGGTGGGGCTCCTTGTTCAAAAATGATTCAGAATTTCAGCAGAGTGTGAAACCAAGGGTCTTTCTGAATGCAGAGCCCTGTTCAACTGTAGTTGTGTAGTTGGGTACTCCTGAGGCCAGTGCTGGGGCAGGCAGGCTACTTTTGGGTCAGAGAACAAGACGGTAATGCTAAAATGAGATTTAGAGACCATGTGTGACTTTCAATAGCCATGGAAGTGCAGTGGTTAAGCATTTGACTGCTACCCAAAGGCCACGGTTCAAATTCACCAGCCACTCAGTGACTCAGAGCCCTACCTGCAGAGTCACCAGGAGGGAAATTGACTAGATGGTAATGTGTTTTTGGAGGAGGGAATATGACTTTAGATACTCAAGATATCCATCCTAGGACTGAATGATCAAGTAAGAACCAGTAGCAAAGTCAGAGATCATTAAAATGAAAGTAGAATTCTTAACAACTAAAAACACTTTTAAAAAAAATTATTCTGAACCATAATGGCATTGTGACAGTGCTTGACTGTCCTTACCTGCAGATAGAGTAAATCTACAGCCACTCTGCAGTCCAGAAGCATGAAGTCAAGGGATGGATCCATGTACCTGCATAATCCAGGAACTCGTGAATTCAGATCATAATTCAAAGTTTACATCATCATTTAGCAATCAGGTCACAAGGGATGACTCATGGGCACCACCATTTCCAGCCTGACACACTTGGGTGTAATTGCTCTTTAAAGTGCTGGTTCTGGATCCTGGGAACTAAGGCCCCCTTGTCCCAACAAAGCCACATCTTTACACTTGCCTAGCTGAAAGACAAGGCCCTGAGTGAGGAGACAGACACAGGGGCTCCAATAATGGGGTCAGAGGAAACAACAATTGGGGAAATGGCGTGGGACAGGGCAGTGTTTCGTTCTGTTGCACATAGGGTTGCTATGAGTCAGAACAAACTCAGCAGCATCAAACAACGGCAGCCTTTAGTTTCTCTTTTTACAATGGACTTTCAGAGAAAAGATGTAAAATAATAACCAAGCTTTACTATCTGCATCCTCGTTCAGACTGTTTCCATTCTCGGTTACCACATCCCAGATTCTCTCCCCTCACCCCACATAATGCCCAGAGTTTTCATTTACTCGGTATTAAATCTATCTTCACCACCCTATACCCAGGCTACCCCCACCTCATGCCTGAGCTGCTCCACTAACCTTCCTGCCTCTGTTGTGTTTCCTCATGCTTGCTCTCCACACTCTAGCCAGAGAGATCTTTTCTGAGTAAGCTTTTAGAATGTCAGCATCCTAGAAGCTGGAGCTTACTCCCTTCCAAGGTCCTTCAAGGGACTGCTCCCGACTTTCATTTCCATTTTTGTCTCTTACCCCCTCCTCCTTCCCAAACACTCTATATTCCAGCCATGTTTTTCTCTCTCACTGGAAGAGCACTTTGAATACCTTGCTGGAGGGAATAGAAGAAAACAGTCTCAGCACCTACTGCCTTAAGTGATGAACAAGGGGACAACAGCTGTTGTCCAGGGGATTGTAACTCATGGTGAGGTCCAGTCTTTTGGTCAGTAGCTAAATGAGTGACCTCTTTGCACCACCCAGGGATTTCCAGCAATGGTAAGATTATTCTCAAATGCTTATTGTCACAATAAATGCTTACTCACCACTTTCTGAGTCCAACTTTACAATTTACCTCTTCAGAACTTTGAAGACTAACATAAGGGAGTTCAAAGTCCGCCATTTTTTTCAAAACTAGAAAAGAAGGAAAGGGAGTGTAATTGGTAGAAACCGCATTAATAGTTCACATACAGATAGTTACTACACATGTATGTATGTAAATGTACATATATGACAGCAGTTGTTTATATACAGAAGCTTGAAAATAGGACTGTAGAACTGAGACCTAAACCTTTCGACTTCTGACTGAAAACCACCTTCCACGGCTTCTTGAGGACACATCAGGGGGCTTTAAAAAAAA